AAAAAAAAAAAAAAAAAAAAAAAAAAAAAAAAAAAAAAAAAAAATTAAAAAAAGAAATAAAGAGGAAGTAAATTAAAGAAAACGTGTCATGTTTTAATAAATTGGGATTTGGGATCAGGGTGTGGAGAATGCTGGTCATGCTTCTCGGGGTGGCTCGGAGGTGGTAGCAGTGAGGGAAGGCACTTTTGGCAGAGCTAGTGCCCCTGCCTTAGGACGGATGCCCCAGCTCATTCGGATCCAATCTGGCCCCCTCCCTTGTTCCCTCCAAGCCTGTCCTACACCACACTCCCAGACTTATCCGTGCCCTGAGACTTGGCTGGTTGGCCTGTGCTCTGCAGGCTCTATGCAAGGGATTACGCCCCTGGGGCAGGAAAGGGAGTTAGCCTGGTGCCATAACTGCCCCCTGGGCAGTAGAGTTCAGGGGGTGGAAAGTTTGTCCACACAGAACAGGAGAGGGGAAGAGGGGACACTATATCCTGGGATGCTGGAGGACTGCCACTTGGGCAGCTCATCTGTGGGGAATGGCCACACATTAATGGAACATGAGCTGGGTAACACGAACCAGAGATAAACCGGCCCTGGAGTGCGATAACTTTAAGCTCCCTAAAGTGTGTTTAAAACTAGTTTGAGGTGTTAATCTATGGATAATGCAGGGGTTAAGAGCTCCAGGAGCTGCCTAAAACTAATGTGTAACAAGGCCCTTTGTCATTCAACGAAAACAAATCCACATATTCTCATCAACCTTGAACCACTAACTCCAAGCATAGCGCTGTCATCAGTAACCAATTATTTTCAATTAGACTAGAGAGCTGCCTTCATGGTTGGCTATAGTCAATAGGAAGTTTGTAGAATCAGAGTCAGCAAAATGAAAAGAGCTGAACAAGAAGTATAATTAAATTATTTTCCATAACGGAAAGGTCTGAAAAAGAAAAAATGAAATATGATGAAGCAATACTGCCTAAGACCTGAAAGAACGTCCATTAAATTCAATGGAAAAGTTCTTAGTATGCTCACGATTGGATTGGCTTCTTAAAGTAAATACTAATCCCTACTTCAAGGGAACCAATGGGGACCTTTCTTTATGGAAATGCATTTAATCAGAAATTCTGATACCAACTATATATCACTGGTTTATATTACTGATTTTTAATATTCATTTGTGAAGTAATAGAACGAGAATGGAAATTTACTTGTATATATTGCAGGTACTTGAAAAATACATATTCGGTGGTTTAACTACTCTCTGCAATTTGTTCTCAGCTGTGTTCTACTGAATTGCCCCCAAATAAGCATGCTTTCCTTGGGCTTAGTCCTAATGTAAAAGCTTGTATTATGAAATATGGAAAAATGTGGTTAATTGTGAAATTCAATAGGAGCATCAGAAAAACATGGGTACGCTGTACTATTTACAAAAAGAATGATCATATTATGACCAAAAACTAAACTTGTGAATTCATCTGATTTCAAAAGAAGTTTTACTTCTTGATTCTTTATCTGGAATTAAGCACGACAGATTTCTTAAGCAAGTAACATGCCAACATCTTAACTCAGAAAGAGACTATGAAAGCAATTAATGAGCCTCTCCTCTCAGTTCTAATTTATGCCCTTTCAGAGGAGAGTGACTTATTCAAAGTGACACTGGTATTTTAGCAGCCTATCTGTTTAAAAAAGTATTTTGCTTTTTATGAATACGACCAAAACAATCTCATCTTATTGCAGGAAAACCAGTTATTGCCATGAGTTAATAGCTACACTGTTGAAAATACGGAAAGGTGCTTCTGCACTTATGAAAGGAAACCATTTTTTGTACATGTTATATTACAATTTTAGGGTCAGATCTAGGTAAACTCACTGCAACAGTTTTAATTATGGGGTACACTTTCGGTCTTCTGAGATAAAATTGAAGAGTCAAAGCAAATCTCAGCTGAAAATACCCCGTGTCAAACCCACAATGTTTTCTCAGGGAAGGAAAAGGTTGGGCAAAATTTTAGATATAATTTACTCAAGAGGTCTGTCTGTGATCACACATCTAACTAATGGCCATAAAATTAGCCATTGTTCACGTGAAACAGAAAGCTTTGGGCCAACAAGTCAGAGAAAGCCGAGCCCAAGTATCTGATGGCTGAATGAAGGCCCTTTACATTGCAGATCCTTTCTGAATCAAAGATTTATTTTATTTGCATGCTTATCAGTTTTCAGGGTAGGTTATTTAGATTAATTGTCTAAGGCCTGAACCCTTACTACAGCATTTTCTTTTTTTTTCAGGACTAAGTCTTGCACTATCCATGCTGTATTGTTTCTGTAATCATTTCTGAAACCACAAACCATTTTGGCCTTCTTTTGTACATGCACCTGTGGGGCTATTCTGGAGGTTTACGTGCACAGCTGAACAGAGAATAATGAATTCCTTGGGAATTGCTTCCCAAAGACCAAAGTCTGAGTGACTTTAGAAGCTCTGGAGTGCAATGACTTCTCTTACCTGCCGAGTTTCGCTGATATTGTGAAATGTCTCTTAGGAGCCCACAAGATGGAGCTGCATGGGCGCAAAGATGTTTGCATGAAAGTCAAAAACAGGCATGCAGTACATACTTCTTGAGCAGTCAATTACCCCCAGCGTTTTTCAAAATGTGGGCTTTTATAAGCCTTAGTGATCTAGAGGTAAACACATGATAATGCCAACAACACTAGATTCTCATAAAACAAGTTTTGCGTGTGCCCAAATTACAAAGGGATCATTCCTTTCAATCCTAGCGTTTGCTTATTTCATCCCATACCCTTTTAACCCCTTCCCCAACTTCTACACGAAGTTTGTAGAGCGAGTTGTTATACCTGGTCTCCAGTGGTATATTACTATTCAAGACCCAGCTGTTGTGCAGATGCACAGAATCCTGTGTACCGGTTGGGGGGGTCGGAGCAGCTGGACTGGGCTGGCTGCGGGTTGTCATTGATCTTCTCTGGAGAGAATCTGCTGTTGGAGGTGGTTTTCTGCTGCAGGTGCACGCATGTGGTGGTGGGGGCGGGGGCGGGAGTGGTCGAAACGTGAACTGGTTGTGCGGGCTGCCCGGCATTTCTGAAAAGAAAACAAATCGGTGAGAACAAACAAATCCGTAGCATTATTATTTGAAAACATCAATCAGGCCAGTGTGATACTCTACTTAATAGCATTACTGCATCACGCAACCAGTCATGTAGTAAGTTCAGTCTGTCTGTAAATTTGTATGGTAACATATGAGTTGATTTAAAATACTCTTATGAAATAAAGAATCAAGATCTGAATGTATATGTAAATTCTTCAGTGCCGCAGCGGTTAAAAGAAATGAAGCAACACTCATGTAATTTGTCATAGGCGCAAGTTTGTTTTTTTTTTGGGTACAGAACAAATAAATCAGGCTGACATTGAGTTACAGCAGAGAAACCATCTGATTTCATCAGCTATAAATCCCATTTAGGAAAATACCTGTGAAAGGAACAGACACGTTATAAGAATAAACATCCTGCACTTCAAATCAGAACAGAGAATAATTCAGTCAAGCCCTCTTCAAAACCACCAAGCAACAAACATCTTCCATGAAATACGGTTAACAGATTTCTACTACTGCATTAATGTATTTGTAAATTAGACTTGGGAAAAGTTTTAATGGAGACTGCCAGTGAAGCAATAACGACACAGACACCTGGAGAGAAGGTTTTATGGCTGTTGAAGGCAGAGGGGCTGGTAGTGAGTTTGAAGCCGTCAGCCTAGACTGTAAAGCGAATGAAGCTCTTAATAGGTGCTGTAAAAGAAGACTGTTGTGTGGGTATAATCACTGCCCCGTTATTTATTGGTTCTGTTGCTGCCCAACAAGAGTTGGAAGCATTGCCCTGATGCCAGTACAGTTGCCTTGAAGGCACAGTAAACATCTTGCTCCCACTGCTCACCTCCAAAGGCCTCCAAAGCATCTGAGGCAGGAACAATACTGAAAGGAGAAAAAATATGAGGGAGAGAGCAAAGGCATTTCTCAGAGGAGGCATCAAGACACTGTCATTTCCTTTTAAAGGTTACAGTAACAGCTTCATTAACAAGAAGCTAACAAAAGCCAGAAAAGTTGCCGCCAGATGCAAGACAAAGAACAGTGGTGCTACCAACATGAAACCCTCCCAGTTCCTACATACCTTCCTGCAAAGTGGCTTATATTTGCATGTGCTGCTGCCAGTGAAAATCTGTTCACCACCCCCCACCCCTAAAAAGTTTCGAAATAATGTTTTATTAACCCTTTGTGGACTTAAACCCAATTTGTACCACAATAAAACCCGACACCTTTGCCCTGTTTCACACCTGCAAACTGACATGTATCCCTTCTGTGCTGGGGATCACTGAGGTGGGTGTGATCGACAGGCTTCATGTGAGGCCCTTCCTGTGCACTCATGCAAGAATACAGCTGCTAGCTTGTTTGGGCAGAGGCTGGCAAGCTCTTTGGTAGCACTAGTACTTTTACTTTTGCTATACTTCAATAGGGATTGTGCCGCCTATAGGTATTGTAAGGCCTAAGACGCTTCCTAGCTGACCTTCAGCCCACCAGCAGTGGCAGAGCAGGGGCCAGGAATGCATCACTCGGGTCTCCTGCTAGATGTTTCCTTTTGCCTACCAAAACTTTGATGTTACAGTACTGGGAGACATTTCCCCCCTCAAGCACCCTGGCTTCTTCATGGGGCTCCAAACCTTCCCTCCACCCCACCCTAACCACTTCCTACCTCTGAACAATGATCTGTGCCAGGGCCTATTGATGTTGCCCCATTGGAACAGGTCAAACAGCAGCCCTTGGCAGTAGCCTGGCCCAAAGCCAGTTCCTGACCCGGCTCTCCCTCTTCTAGAGTCCTATCAGGCCATAGATGCTCGGACCTGCCCTGGTTGAGGGTCCTTTCCCTGGATGGGTGACCCCTGGGGCAATATGTAACTCAATCTTCACAAAACTATAACAGAAAAATGGCAGCAAGCACTGCTATAACCTTCAATCTCTTTTTAGAGGGGATCTCTCTCTTGTAGAGCTCGTTTAGTGTCAGTCCAACTCACTACCTTGATCTTCGCCACCCAAGGAGAACCTCCAGCCCACAGGCTCTCTTCCCAAAGCATCAAAAGTCCTGCAATGCAACCCTGCGCCAGGCGTTCACCTCAGCAGAGGGCTAGGATCCTGTGTGGGAAACGACCAAGAGCCTGGGACCCTCACCATCTCCACAGCCTTCTTGATCACCCCTGATCTATCTCCCATCTCTGGGCAGTCTACTTCGCTGGAATTATCATTGTGTGCTTTGGCGTCTCCCACAGACTGCAGTGGGGAACTGGAGCTCCTTCACACGCCATCCCGAGCTGGTTCACCAGCTGGCTCTTCTCTGCCTGTTTGTTGCTCCCTCCGAGGAGGTCACTCCCTGGCACACCGCAGGCTTCCCCCCTAGGTCCCTCGCCAGAGCCAAAAGTACCCCTAGCAGCTTCCTTTCTGCCAATCTGGAGTGTGAGGCTGCTCTGGAAACACCATATTGGTCGTGGTTCGCAGCTCCCATACACCACTTTCACCAAGGTAAGCAGAGGGTGCAGGTTATTGTTTTGGCTTTCCTCTTCCCCTTTCACAGGGATGCAATTTGTATTTATCCTGAAATTTGCATTTTCTGGGTGGACAGGTCCTTTAATTGCCTGTTAAGTGTATTTGGCCTACTGGTCTCATGAGTTTTAAGTCACTGAATAAGAACCACTTGGTTTTCTAGGTGCTGGATGAAATGAATAATGAAGCTACTGAACCATCAAAAAAAAGAAGTTTGTTTTTTGAAGAGGCCCAAATCTAAGCAGTGCAAGCTGGGACAGACTTTAAAACAGGGAGGTAAAAAGGTAATAAACAGCAGGGGGTAAATGTGAATGGGGGAAACAAACTATATGTAAGTGCAGAAAAAAAACAGTGGTGCAAATTTGTGGGGTCCTTCAGGCGTTTAATGTTGGATGAGGCCCAGAGCCGTAGAGGAGAGAAAGGTCTTGGTCCATTACCAGTTAGGGATCCTTGAGGGCCAGAAAGGCAGGGCATCAAGCCAGTGGAATGGAAAGCCCCATTCCTGTCTGCCCCAGAGAAGCCGTGTTCACTGTACAACCTCAAATGTATGACTTGTCCCAGACAGAGGTGTTTTTGAGCAACTGTAGCAGTCCTTACTAGGATTGGATCGAGTCAGCTGGAAGATGATCCAAGCAAGGGCCAAGCAAGGACTGCAGCAATGCCAACTCCTTGATCATACCATCTAGCATAGTGCACTGCTTTTATGGTTTGAACCGGATTTTGCTTCTCATCAGGTCCAGAGTCTCCCTTGTGACAGCCACAGCCACCTGCTGTATGTTGCTCCTTTTTGACTGTCCCGATTCACTGCCATGCTCTGCCATGCAAGCTCCCTCAGCACAGTTACTTCCACGTGCCAAATCTTTACTGCTCATGAGAGCAATGTTGGTGGCGGCAGCTGACAAGCAAGGCAGGGACAGCATGATCTACTCTGAAACATGGGTAAACACACAAGCTCTCTGAGGACAAAGACGTCCTGGATCTCAGAGTCCCTCTCAATTTCCTGTGGCGAGTGAGTACCAAAACCTATCGTAAAGTGTAGTGTGATCCTGGCATCAGCAGACAAGATCCCATCCAGCTCTTTTTAGTAAGGAGTTGAGGCACAAATAGAGCAAGAGCAGTGACTGATGTGGCATGTCTCCTTGTAACTGCTGATAATGACTTGCAGCTATCTGGAGGACCAAAGCTGTATGTAGCTGCAGCCACTAGACCAGGGGTGTCCAACCTTTTTGAATGTGGGGCTGGATCATGAACTTTTTATCACCCAGTGGGCTGGCGAGCCACATTCAAAGACCTCACAGGAAGCAGTATCACATCACTCCCTCCGGCCCCCCGAAACAAAAGTGCAGTGTTTACTTTCGTTTCCCGTCGCAGCACCTCGGGCCTCAAAAAACAGCATGGAGGGCTGCATGGTGGCCTGTGGGTGGCATGTTGGACAAGCCTGCACTAGACACTTGCCTCTCCCTAAAGTGCAAAAAGGAAGAATACATCCACACCACTCAAAGAGGTTCAAAGAGGTTGTGAGGTTGTAGAGATGAAGGTGCAAGGCAGGTCTCTAAGACCACTGACAGATGTGACCCTCCCTTCCCCCGCCCCAAACAAAAAAAACCCAAAACCAAAACCCCAAATAAAAAAACAAAAACAAAACAGTGCCTTCCCGGAAGAGGAAGCACATTAGTTTGACTGGCTCCCCCGTGTCTGCATAGATCGCACATTTCAGCGGGGCTTTTTGGCACTTTTATCTACTAGGTGATTGACTCAGCTAGTAGATAAAAGCAACAAAAAGCCCTGCTGAAGCATGTGATCTATACAGACATTGGGCAAGTTGGGTCAAATTAATGTGATGCTTCTTGTGGGCATGTGCTGTTCCTTTCCCCACCTCCCCGCCCTGCCACATCTGTAAGCAACCTAAAATCTCATTCTCTGGCATGTCTGATCAGAAAGGGGCAGAATCTAGCCATATGCCAGGATTTCAAGTGGAAAGTGACTTTGGATTCCCATGGCCTCAGACAAGTAGAGCTCAGAAAGGTAGCCAGAGCAGACTGTTTGGAGAAGGTGCAAAGCAGTGTGGGAAGGCAGTTAGTATACCAAATGGCTGACTTGGGGAGAAAAGACATATAAGCAAAAAATGAAGTCATGGCTCTTAAAAGCACAATGAATTTGCGCAATTCATCTGGGAATAAAAAGCCCATTTTTGTGGTGTTGCTATATCGATTTTAGGGGTTGCATCACATCTATATTGCCTTTTAGGACCCGGGCTCTCTCTTTGTATGGGTTAAACCATTCTTTGTCCATGGCCTAACACATTATGTTGTGGTAAGCAGAGCTGTCAAGGCTTTGCTTTAATCCTTTTAATTTCATTGATTTTTTATCAAGGCAGAATTCTATAGCGCTATGAAGGTTTATACTATAATATTAGTTTGTATATAACAGAAAAGCATTTCTAAGCATATTAGAAAATTGGAGACCTCAGTAAATTAAATCACTGAAGTCAACAGTC